GCTTGTTTTCTGTTACCTGCGTGCGGGACGGGGGGAGGCTGTAGGAGCGGGGCGGCCGGGGGCTGAGAAGATGGGGCGCCAGGATCGATGTTACCGCCGTCCCGCTCGCGTACCTTGTCGAGCCTCGGTCTTCCTGTGAAGGTCACGCGTGTGCCAAACGTGGAAGAAATGTGACGGATGGGAATGTCAGCCTTAGTTTTCAGCTGTCTCGGGGTTTCCTGTGCCTTCTTCAGCGCCTGCTGTCAAGAGATAAGTCGTATGCTGCTAGCAGAAAGAGTTAGGAGTGAAGCTACAGCTGCTACACTTAAAAGTCTAAAAAACTGTCAAAAACGGGGCGTTAGGAGCCAGCGTGATATTTCTGCTGATGCATTGGAATGGCTAAGTCATCCAAGGACAGGTCTGAGTTTCACAGGTCACACACAACTAATACAATGTTTCCTGCAATTAAGGCTGTCATGTGTACCAAGCGCCTGCAGTCTTTGGCTAACCATTTTGGAATTTGGAGCTGGGTTAGTCCAGCTTTTGGGATAAAAAAGTGGTGCAGATATTTGGATGGAAAATCATCATGTAGCTGGCCTCAAAAGCTTTTCAGTTTTAATGGTAGAGCAGATGGCTTAGAATAAAGTTACTTGTGCGTCTTATCGATGTTACCGTCAAGAAATGTAGAGTTCTAAAAAGGAGGTAGCTTGTGGAAGTGGCTTTGAGAGAGAGAAGCTGCCCAGCCACCTGACTTTTGACGACTTAATGAACTCATGGGAAGGTACTGAAATGAAAGGAGTTGTGGTTAGCAGACAGCTGAAAGACTTATTTATGTGTATGTGTATTCTGAGACACCTAAAGGCATTTTGTAAATAGTCCCATATTTTTGTTTGCTTTAAAAAAAAGGTTTTAATGTTGCAAAGACATGCAGTTAGACTTAAAATTTGAAAATAACTGATAGTATCTAGGTGTCTGGGATAATAGGAGACATCTAAACTTTCAACTTGTTATTGGTTTTCAATATGTTTTTTTATGCATGCTGTGTTGTTTGTGTTCCGGTTATCTTGTTTATGAATACTTAGAATTTCATACTTGGCTTTGTCTGGCTGAGAGCTTCAGTGTGGGCTGCTTCATTATAAGATTGGTGAATGTTGGAAAAACTCATGCTTCAAGGCTTCGAACCGATATAAATTTCTGTTTCATTAAAAGCAGCTTCCTCGGGGATTCCAGTCAATTCATCTGATTGATTAAACATTCTCTTTTCTTTGTTAACATATGTTGTTTCCAGCTATTGATAATGTACATACTCCAGTAGAACTAGAAAAAACAGCAGCCTGTGTTAAGTGTGGTGTTATGCACACAAAAAATGACCTCTTGCGGTCCTAGACCAATGTACACTTATGTGAGAACATCTTAATGATTATTTTGCTAACCTGATGAATGATAGATGGCAATGGGACATCACAATTAAAATAAGGAGGGAGGAGGCAAGGGAGAGAGAGGAGGGGGGACTAAAACTTATTTTGGAGCACTTTAATAATACTGAGGTGTGCTAAAAATAAGCATCACGCTAGACCTTGGGTTAAAGGTTAAGTGTGTTTTGAAATCTGATATCTACACCAGGTTAGAGTGCTTTTCAAAGGGTTTTTTGGTCTCAACAATGATTCAAAAGCCAGTTCATGTGAGTGACATTGAAAGGTGACAGATCCAGAACAATTAAAAAAAAAAGTATTTTTGTATAGCTCCAGTAGATTTTTGAACTTCTTGCCATCGGACTTTCTTGCAGTCTGGAGTCTAGCATTGAGCTAGCAGTTGTGACAGTGCTGTTCAGCTGAATTCTGGTTAATGTCAACAAGAGCTGATAGTCTCATGCCTCTGAATTCATGCCAGTTTCCAAATTTTAAAAAATAGATTGCAGAAGGCTCTGATGGGCTGAAAATTATATGGTCTTTGCGAGAGTTCTTTTCACTTTCCTCTTAAGCAGCTGGTATTATTGGGTTTAGGTAGAGGTCTAAGCCACAGGTCAGATACAGCAGTAAGTTTCAATAGTTTATTAAGTTAGTAAAAAAGTTCAGTTTTGTTGAGATGTCCCTTCTGTTGTGCCCACATTCGTGGATGCTCACATGGAGACTTGCAGACAATGTGTGTGAGAGTAGTGCAGGTACATTCTCTCTCTTTAACATGTCAAAAGGTATTTGAAAATAAACCAATAGTTTTCTTCATGGAAACTATTGATGTAGAAAGTAGCGGAGTTTGGCATGGTTGGCATTTCAAGGTCACTTAAATTTTATGCTTCAGTGAAAAAAAATTCTTAATGTGGCCAGATTAAAAAAAAAATATTCTTTATTTCTGTTGATACCTAAAGTCAGAATTTCTTCTCAGCACTAGCTTTGCACCTGCTCCTCCCTGCCCCCAAGTTAGATGAATTTCTATGGTTTTACACCAAGGTCTTTGATAATTTGAGTGGATGCAGAAAAAGCCTGACTGGCAGTTCTTATTGAATGTGAAGTATGTTTGGAATGCTGCCTGAGGATTTCTACCAAGGCATGGAAGGCTTTCATACTGTGCGTTCCTCTACAGAATGGGAGAACTTCAGTGCAAGTGTTCATTGGCACTTCTCAGAATCCTTTTAGGCAAGCTAAACCATGAGTGCATGGTGGAATTTCTTTTGGGCTTTTTTCTGATCTTTCTCTTTATAGACTGCTATAAAGAGATTTTAATGAAGTATCATAGGATTTAAACAACTAGCATCATGTGGTCAGCTGGTGACTTAGAAGCTGTTTTGTCTTTGAACCATGCTTCAGAGCACTTGGTTACAAAAGCAAATGATAGTCAGATGACTAGGATTTCTTAGTTTTTTGCAAAAATACACTTACGTTTTCTAGTAGCAGTAGTGTCACAGCTGCAAACAGAGATTAAGATATATTGTAATGAAAAATATGGAAATGTATATTGTGTCTAGCAACTTTGCTCTTCTAGTTTGAAGCAAATTCACTTTGTGAAGGAGTCAACACTGTTCCTTTAGATGCACAGCACTTGTGTACAGTCATCCTTCATGTCCTGTATCTCTGCTAGATCTTCCCAAACTTCTATGACAGCTTCTTCCCTTGGTTTCAATAGCAGTAGCTCCACATCTGCTAGACCATTTTGATACCACTTTTCTAATGCTACTCATGTGAGTGGTATAATTTGGAAGTCCCTCCTTCATACAGTATTCCAGTTCTTTTACAAGGCTTTGGTTAGCACCTACATATTAAATTTAAATTTGTGTTCCCTTCCCTATCATCCTTGCATAAGAAAGTACAGTACAAATTGAGACACTTGAAACTTAGAAATAAAACTGTGGCTCAAAAGTCTCATCCCTGTTCCCAAACCTCAAATGTTTTCCCGTATATACATATGACCATAATTCGGCTTGAGCATAGTGGGTGAAGAAACTTTTTTGTTTTTTTAATGTGATTGATATGATGCCCTTCAATTGCTATGCTTGGCAAATGCTCTTTCTTGAAAGGAATGCAGCTTACACTGTTAGAACTAGCTTTAGTCTTAAAATCTGCCATTTATTTTTTCTTTATGGCTACAAAAGCTCAACATTCTCAAAAATTTGATATAGCTTTAATGAAAATCATAAAGAAGGGGTTTGAGCATATATGTTATATTTATGTTTTTCAGGAGATGATTTGTTTCTAGTTATTTCCGAAGTGAAGCTGTTTATAACTTTCTGGGGACTTGATTCCAGTTATATTAAGCTAATCTGTGAGTACAAAAGTACAAAGTATTGCTGCTGCTTCATAGTAAGGTCCTGGCTTTGTTTACAATTTGGGATTCTTTTTATTGTTTGTTTGTTTCAGATATTGTGCAGTATCTCTCTGTTTTGCTTATAGCCTTTGAAATTCAGATGCGTCCTACTGCAAAAAGCCATGTGGGAAGAGTGTATTGATTATACTTTTGTGAGAAAGGGGTGTCTTGATAACAGCTCTCAATCCTGAGTTACAGACATTGTGACTGTGCAGGCCCTTGTCACAATCAGTGTTTCACCAGATTTTTGTTTTGTATTAATATATAGCAGAACAGGGCTACCTCAAAACAGTTCATTATATCTCAGCTTAAAAGGCAGTCTAAATGAGATAGGAAACTGGGAAGAAGACTGTCGTGGTTTAACCCCAGCCAGCAACTAAGCACCACGCAGTGCTGTGTTTCTAAAGGAACAGTGCTGACTCCTTCACAAAGTGAATTTGCTTCAAACTAGAAAAGCAAATAATTTCTGTTGTTCTAATGACTAGTTCTTTGTTAGGTGTTTTGTTTTTGTCAGCTCAAGTATTTTGTTTGTTACCTTATGAAAGTAAGCAAAATATGTAGTCTTGTTGGCTACCTCTCCAGATGCTATGAGGTGGAATGATTTGGGAAAGGTGCTCCTCTTAGTAAGGACAGGATGGAAGGGTGCAGATAAATACGTGATCAAAGCTGCTGGCATCAGCAGATGGAAGAGACTGAATGTCTCTTTAAAAGAAGTACAGAAATCAGTTGAAGGAGTAAGAAGTTTGT